AAACTTCGTGAAGTAGTGAGCTTTTATGCTTTACCGCCTTTTTGTTTACGGCAGATGCAGGTACAGCGGACTGCATTTCCAGGTGCTTATCGTGTAATGCAGGCTCTACATAATTTTCGACTGAAAGCCTAAGTAATGTGTCATCTGCACAACATACAAACCACCATCAGATCCCTGTAGCACGCTACAGAAAAAAGCAAAAGGCTACCGTCTACCACTGAATGATAAATAAGCGTGAACCAATACTGGTCAAATTAATATGAAGTAATACAGTCACATATTGTGTGTAATAATAAATGATGTGCATCGCAGTCTAATGACTCAATGAGTAAAGTACAACACTCGTCGACAATGTAACATATGTGAGCTGGTTATATTTCCACAACAACCAGTATTCACCACACAAACCGGCCTTAAAGAGTAAAGTAATCAGGCGAGCTTCTAATCAATACAAAGGGTCAATCGATAGTGGCACAGACGCGATTTACTAAAGTGTGATTAAACTGAAAGTAAAACAGCAGAGTGTGGAAGCGCCATATCATAGAGCATATATCATATCCGTGGGCACTGACGACTGCACCTTTTTGAAGAGCAAGTAATAGAAATCGGATAGAAATGGTGCAATTAAACTCTGGCACCCGTAGCCCAGTTTGGCTTAGTTGTTGTAAAAACGGTACATGTAATAATTTAAGCAACATAGCTGTCACACAGCGTGATAATCTGAAGTTTCTAAAACAAAGCCAACACGTTTTTCAGATTTAGTAAGCCAATATTTCCAGAGTGACAGTGTGGCAGGCTAAACTGCTCCGGGAATCGTATGGAGTCGAGTAGCATTATTAACGAATGTCATCTACTACTACTAGTAATACAGTAAAAACCCGCGTTATAAAGAATCATAGATTTTTCGCCAAAGTTAGCCTCAACAATCGTGCGTAATAAATGGTGCTGCTTACTGAAGAAATTAGGCTCGAAAAGGTTCTTTAGATAGGGTTTCTTGAATTGTTTCTACTTTTGAAATGTACCTAGCAAGTAGATAATGCAGTACTAGTGTCTCAATAACAGAGTGCCAGGGTGGCTGGGCATTGTTATTGTTGAGCATCTGGCATTTTGGCAATTGCATTGGGCATTGGCTGGTATTGCACTCGATATTGTTGAGCTCGTCTTTTTTATTGTTACCTGTGTTTTCTTTTTAAGTCTTTCAATCTGCCATTGGAAAATTAAGAACCTACTTTAAAATCTTAGCTAAAACAGGTTTCTTATGTAAAGGGGTCTAAATGGGAAATTTTTAAGCCCTAACATGTTCCTTAAAATCTTATGTTTCCTTATACGCGGGTTTTTACTGTAAAAGCCACAGTAACACTGTTCGATCGAAATAACACTTGAGGGTTATCACACTGCGCGAAGCTTGACTCGGCGTATCAACTGAGAAAACCGCACCTATCTTTATAACTTTTTCGGCGCACCTAAAGGGGCTCGATTTTAACATATATGCGGCAACAAGGAGCAGCCATCTTTTGTTCGCACAATGCTACGCGGGATTAATTCAACAATGGTTCACGAATTTCTTCTATTCGGCAAATCTTCGGACGAATGGCCGCTAATCGTGCCGAATACTGTTTGCTTGCGTGCGTGGCGTGCGTGCGCGGCGCGCGTGCGTCGTGTGAGTAGTGTGTGATGACTAGTGTGTGTGGTGGTGCATGGTGTTGAGGTCGGGTGCTGTTGCCTGCGCGTGTGGTGAGTGAGGATGGTACGGGGGGGGGCGAGGTGAGAAGGTGGAGTATGAGATGGGCGACTGTGGTGAGGGAGCGGCAGTTAGTACGCGCTGCCGCGGCGCGCCGCGCGTGTGTGTGTGTGTGTGTGTGTGTGTGTGTGTGTGTGTGAGTGTGTGTGTGTGTGTGTGTGTGTTGTGTGGGGAGTGGGGGGTGTCGTTCTGTGTGTGTGTGCTGTGTGTCACTGTGTGTGTGTGTGTGTGTGTGCTGTGTGTGTGTGTGTGTCACTATGTGTGTTGTGTGTGTGTGTGTGTGTTGTGTGTGGTGTGTGTGTGTGTGTGTATGTGTGGTATGTGTTGGTGTTTTTGCTGCGCGCGCCGCGTGTGTGCGTGCGGTGGCGTGTGTGTGCATCTCGCTTTGTTTCTAACATGAAAGATGTCTATGCCCTTAGCGCCAAATGTACCGGCCCGACACTCTCATAATCAGATTTAGAGGGGGCACATCGGCCGCGTTGACCCCTTTTGAAACCCAAAAAAACTTAATTAACTTACATTATAAAAGAAAACAAATTACAGAAAATTACAAAATTACAAAATACTTTTTCTGCGGACTTTCAATGTTGTAAACATAATGGTCAAAGATGAGGTTCCAGTCAGAAATTTGTGACATCAATTGACCCATGTTTCATGTTTAAGCATACTATTATTCAAATTTGTACAGTCATTCTTCTGAATTTGCCTGCCAAAGAAACCATCTCAGAGTGCATTTACAAGAATAGATTTTATCAATTGTTTGAGATTATATTTCTGGCCTGGCAACTGTTATATGTCATACATTGTATGTACCGATGTTTCAATTAGGGAAGAAAGTACTACTTTTATTTTGCTCTGTAGATGACATATTCATACAAACATTGAAACAACAAGCTTTGATAATATATTCGAGTTATTCACAAGATTTGTATTTTGAACATTGCCGATATTTTTCTCTAGCCTGGCCAATAGTTATTTGATATGTGAAATGTGCTTCTGTAATACCACATGATGCATGTCAGAAATATATAAGGTTTAAACATTTCAGTGTAATGTCAATTTCTCGTAGACATTTGACGGTCTTGCCCCCCCCCCCCCCCGTCCCTACACCGAAAGGCTGGTCACAGCCAACTGATCAAATTAACCGCACATAAATGCTGCTGCAGATATGAGTTAAAATAGCCCTCTACAGATTGGCAAGCCATTTTTAAGCTAAAAAAGCGCAGGGGCGTGTATATGGGGGGGGGGGGTCCAGGGGTCCGGACCCCCCCTCTCGCACTACAGAAAACGCATCTGAGTGGGGTCTAAATTCAGGAAAAATTCTGAGGAGGCGCCCGCTAACCCCCGCTTCTGCGTGCTCAGCAAGTATGGGTTACGGTTAGACATCCCCCCTGGTCCAAAATTCTGCTACACGCCCTGCCCCCTCCACTTGCTTCGCTCGCTGGGCTTGGTCGCTCCGCGCTCCATCGGCCGTATCATCCCCACATTTGGCTACATATTGCTCATTTGGTGCCCTTTCTTTTTGAAATTCTTGGATCCGCCCCTGATCCGACCCATGATCCGAGAATGTTTGAAAGGCGATATCTTTGGTCATTGTAATTCATAATTTACGTGACAGTCTGACAGATGATTCTGTGCGTAGTATCTTGGTAGTATACTATCAGGGGTTAATAATGACAATTTTTTGTCAATATTAACCCCTGATACTAGGTATGTAATAATATTACACATATTATGTGGAGGTATTAGGATATACAATATGAGTCGTAAATACTAGATGGTATACGAAAGACGATGAAACTCACACACAGTGACACAATACACTTTGCTGTCGTTTAAAATTTCAATTTATTATATAATGTTCAATCTCTCTCATTGATTACAGACAATTTACACATGCTTGAAAATACGCGATGATCTTTCATCTTCCTACGTCACGTACATCGGTCATTATGACTCATCAACGCATGCATACGATACATAAATTGCTACAGATGACAGGCGAGATACAGATGAGATGGCATGTGCAAGTTCTGATCGCATTGAATCAAATCTACGTTTGCCTGATCATGTAAAGATTAGACTTGATAGGTAAACGCTGTCACCATCAAGCTTCGTGTTCCGTTGTTTAAGCTAAATGTTACTGATGATCAAATTTTTAGAAAAATTCGTTTTAATTTTAGTATTCTACCTAACATAGAAAAGACAATAAAAGTATATCGTTGTTAGCGGTTACTTTGATAACAACTAACAACACAATTGTACAAAAGACGCGAACCGCGAGTTACAACAACCACATATGAATTACCAAGCGATTCACATACATAAAAACAACCGCCCAAACTCTTGTATTTTGCGTAAAAATGTCGAGGATAGTTGGAAGAATTTTGCTTTCACGATATAAATTGCACGACGTATTAAATTGACGCGTCTGCAACTACACTAATAACCATCTACCTATGTTCAACCACATTTGAATAACTTCACTCTCTCTCTCTCTCTCTCTCTCTCTCTCTCTCTCTTCTTTGTTATATCCATATCATCATCTTCTTCGTGATCTTCTTCTTTCCCCTTCTTATTCTCATCCTCATCTTCTTCCGCCTCTTCTTCTTTTGCTGCTTTTGATGCTAATTCATGTCTGACGATGATGGAACTTTTTCGGAATTTGTTTAATTTGACCCTCATTCGTCCTCGTCGCTCATGGATTTCCGCTGCTGGCTTTCCACGTCGGCCCTCGTCGAACTCGTCGCCACGGGCTTCGGTTTCGGAGCCGGTTTCTTCTCAAAGCAGGCCTTCTCCTTTACGAACATGAATGCGACCACACCGCATATGAATGCGACGACGACGACGACGGCGATGACAATGCCAGCTATCATGCCAGCCTGCGTGGTCTCTGCAAAATGCAAATGGCCGCCACATGTACACGTCATAGTAATATTAAATTAACTCCGGTTGATGGCTTATTTCTTCTCAATATTACTCACTCGGAGTAAATGGCAACATCGTTAAGAGCGAATTGGCATGAGGTTTTAGAGCCATGAGGACTTAATTACGATACAGACCTGTATTGAAAACTGCGCAACTAACTACGCGAAAAGACCTCTAATAACTTGTTTACCTACTCAATCGCCTGCCTGCTGCACCGTCCGTACCGTACCGTGCCGCACGCAGACCGACCGACCGACACGCCCGCGCCGCCGCCCGCCCGCTCCGCCGCGCTCGCAGCCCGCCCGCCCGCCCGCGCCGCACCGCCACCAACGCTACAGCTAACCCACCTACCAACCTATACCTACCTACCTACCTAACCTACCTACTACCTACTGTAACCTACTACCTACCTAACCTACCTACCTACCTACCATACCCTACCTACCTACCGTACCAACCTACCTACCTACCTAACGCTACGCTACCTACCTACCTACCTACCTACCTAACTACCTACCTGTACCTAACGCACTACCTGACCACCTACCTACGCTACCTAACCTACGCATACCTATCCTACCTACCTACCTACCTAACCGTACTCTACCTAGCGCTACCTACCTACCTACCTAACCTACCTAACCTACCTACCTACTGCCTACTACCCTTACCTTACCATACCTACTACGCTACCTACCTACCCTACCTACCTACCTACTACCGATACCTACGCTACCGATACCACGCCGTACCTACCTACACTACCTAGCCATACGCTACTACCCTACGTACCTACCTACCTACGATAACCTACCTACCTACCTACCTACCGACCTATCCTACGCACCTAACCTACCTACCTACCTACCTATCCCTACCTACCGTACCTACCTACTCTACTCTACCTACCCTACCTCCTACCATATCCATACGCACCTACCTACCACCACCTACCCCCTACCTACCTACGCTACTACCTACCTACCTAACCTACTCTACCTACCCGTAACCTACCTACCTACCTAACCTACCTACCTACCTACCCTACCTACGCGTACCTACCTAACCTACTGCTACGACTACCTACCGGAGCCGTACTCGATACCGATACGCTACCCTAGCCTACCTACCGATACTACCTACCTACCTACCTACGCTACCATACCTACCTACCACCGATACGCTACCTTACCATACCTACGTACCTAACCTACCTACGCTACCTACCACCTAACTACTCTACCTACTCTACCTACCACACTACCTACCTATCTCTATCTCTTACCTACCTACCATAACCTATCCATTACTACCGTACCATAACCTACCGTACCTACTACCTACGCTCCTACCTACCTACCAATACCTACCTACCACCTACCTACGCTCCTACCTACCTACCTACCTACCACCTACCACCTATCCTACCTACCTACCGTAACCTACCTGTACCTACCTCTACCTACCTACCTACCTACCTACCTAACCTACCTACCCTACCACCATTACCTACCTACCTACCTACCATACCTACCTACCCTACCTACCTACCTACCCGTACCTACCTACCTACCTACGCTACCTAGCCTAACCTACGCTAACCCTACCTACCTACCATAACGCTACCTACACTACCGTACCTACCTACCTACCTACCTACCTACCTACCACCTATCCTACCGTACCTACCTAACCTACCTACCTAAACCTAACCTACCTATCCTAACCTATCCTACCTACGGCGTACCTACCTACCTACGCTACCTACCTACCTAACCTACCTAACGTCTACCTACTACCTAACCTACCATACCTACCTACCTACCCATAACCTGAAACTACCATACCTACCTACCTACCTACCGTACCTAACCTACACTACCTATCCTACTCTAACCTACCTACTACTTACCACTACTACTTAATCCAACACCGCCGCCTACATATCTGTGTTTCTAGCTACTCATATCTACCACTCACGGAGCCACTCCAACCACCGATTGCGTGAAAGGAAAGAGAAGTGTAACATATAACACGAACAAGCCCAAACAAAAAATCACCTCCAACTTGTATGTTCACGTCCGACGAGTACTCTTCTCGCGAAAAACGCATTGGACGGCCTTGCAGACGATCTTCCGCTGTCCGGCCCGAATCTATCCGAGATTTTCAGCTCGGCGCGCGACTTGGTGACAGAGCGGACTTCCGGTCGCGGACTTCAGCCCCACCCTTTCCGTAGTCGGGTCCGGATTGGCGGCCCTCGCTGTTTGCAGGCAGACGATCGTCACCGACGCGCCGGCATCGAACGTCAGTTCTGTGTTCATGATGACGCCCTCGAATGACGGCTCGACTGCAAGTGGGAGTAATGTTGATTTTTAGTGGTAGTAAGGGTTAAGCTACCCCAGTAGCTGTAGTTATGTGCGTGTAATCAGGAGTGTAATATATATATTTTTGGTGTTTCGATAGATATTGATTATGGCTATTATATCATGCTGAAAGGGACAATTT